ACACCTATACCTTTTGAGGTTAAAGAATTTTGAGGTTTTTAGAGAATCTGCATACTCTATAAGGCCTATGCCTTCTGACATTTTAGAAGAAGTAGAGAAATATGACTTTTAAGTTGGATGGTTGAAGTGGAGAAATGCATCAGGATTTTTGTGTGATAGAAAATTCCCCTCAAACTTAAGGAAAAATTCTATAATTTAGTGAGCTATAATGTTTTATGCAGCATAATGTTAGCCATTAAAAGAGCATCATATATTAAGTTAAGTGTTGCAGAGAAGTGGATGCTCAGGTGGATGAGTGGTTGTACGCTTAGAGACAGGATACAAAATGAGCATATTCATGAAAAGGTTAGAGTAGTTCCAGTGGAGGATAAGATTAAAGAGAATCGCTTTAAATGGTTTGGTCACATAAAATGACGTCCTTCCGAACACCCAGTTAGGAGAGTACAAGTATTAGATTTGGCTTATGATAAGAAAGATAGAGGAAGATCTAAAAGGAGTTGGTTAGAAAATATTAGAAATGGTCATTTCTTTATTAGATTTAAATGAGAATTTGACTCTTAACAATACACAATGGAGAAAAAAGATTCATATAGCCCACCTCATTGAGTGGGATAAAGGCTTGATGTTGTTGTTTTAGAGAAATATGACTTTCTATGGCTTAGGTCTTATGAGATTTTTTTTTTGTTCCTATACCTTACAAGGTATTAGCCTTCTATGATTTATGAAGAATATGCATTCTAAGGCCTATGCTTTCTAATATTTTTGGAGAATCTATATTTATGAGGCTTATGCCTTCTAATATTTTTAGAGAAGTTGAGTATTCTATACTTTTTTAACCTTACTCCTTCTAAGATTGTTTATTGTGCATATTATTTTTGAATCTTATGCCATTCGAGATTTTTTTTGTAGCCGCAAATTCTAAGAATTTTTATGTACCCGTACTTTTTGAGGTTTATGTCTTATGATATTTTTGGATTAGTGGCGATATTATTAACCACTTACTCTCATGGAGTTTTTTTATTGAGGACCCTACTTATCACTAATTTATCATTAAGGCTTTTTATAGAGGTGACTTCTAAGGGTTTATAGTGAAGATCTTATCTACCACTTACAATTTGGAGTCATTTTAGTTGAAATGATAAGATATGACATTATTTATAAATAAATACTTTGTTAATATTAAACATAAGATACATAACAATTCAAATATAATTGTACTTGCAAAAGGTAAATTTTTAATTGCCTCATAAAATAGGGACTATTTCTTAGTGAGGAGCTCAATTTTTTGGACTATAACAGTAATGAGATCTACTATTGGATTTATTGGACGTAGCATATGTGAGCTAATAATTAATCTACAATTATTTCTCTAATATCCCAAAACGTAGAGAACTTAATCTTTATGTGAGGGATACCCCCACGATGCCTTTAATAATGGTTTCAATTTTACCAATCATTTGATGATTACCTTATGGTTACTTTTATAATTTTTGACTAGTGGGAGTACTGATTGTATGGGCAAGTTAATTTTGTATGAATTGACCAATATAACCATGTCAAATATGACCATATTTCAATGGTGTATATGTAACTTCGATGAAAGTGACATTATTGCTCTTAATTTTTTTTAGTTTGATTTCTATAGATTTAGCTACTTAATAATCTCTACATCTTAGATGACAAACAAAATATTAACACGAGATATATTGAGAGGTGTATATTTTTCTCTAGTTGGTTCTTGCTTCACAAGTGTTATTATCGAGGGGGAGGTCATGGCTCCACCGTTATTCCCACTTATTTTATTGGGATAGTTGATAAGCACTTCCCACTACATTATTGCAATTGCAAATGGGTTGCACAAATTGCTTTCGATACTCATTGATAGGTTCATTAGTTAAGATATGTGCTTCTATATAGGGCATCAGGTTAGCATAAGAGTAACCTTATCTCACATCAGTGATGAATAGAAAGACCTAGAATGAATCCCTCTAAATAAGACTCCCTCTTAACAACTCAAGATCTACTCATGAGATTTGGCAAGATATAGAAACAAACCTTAGAAAGTACTAATTGAGGGACTATATTTCATTCTAATGAATTCTTGTGAGGTGGTATGATTCATTGACAATTATTCAATTTACAACAATTTGTTTAACAAAGTGTTTGGCTTGTTTGTCAAAAGTGTGATTTGTCCCTCCTAGTAGTGAATAAAACTAAGTGTGAGGTTGTCCATTGAGGGTGGAAGGGAAGAGCTAAAAAAGGAGTACATTAGAGGCTCATTGAATTTACATGATATTCATATTGTGATTAATGTACCTGCAGAGGCCAAACACCCTTTCATAACAGTTCATGTTCAATAGCTTAAATCATTTTGGAATGGGGCGGTTAATGTTAACTTTAGTTAGAGGCAAAAACTCTTACAAGCTTTGATGAGTGAATTAAATTCCCACCTCTCATGGGAGAACCCTCTCAAGTTAAACATTGTAGTTCATCACAAAAGTCATTATGATAGGTGTCAGTTATATAAGGTCAAGCCAAGTCATTTATAATTTTTAGAGGATCTTGGGTTGGCTGGACTACATGGGATAGATAAGTAAAAATGGTTGTGTCAAGGTGATCAACATCATGTTATGGAGGAGAAACCCTAGTTTGATGGTGAGGGAGATCTACAGTTTTGTTCTTTAACTGAATAATCCTAATTTGAAATTGATCATGAGCTAGGGAGATGAGCCATTTGCATTGAGTTAGAGCTAGATGTTAAGCCCCCCCCCGGCAACAATTGAAGATTTTTTTCCTAAGAATACCTTATCTTATAAATGTAATATTCTTGCGATGAATTGATGTACTTTCACTTGCAGGGTTGCGTCCAACAAAGAAGAAAGAAGCATAAGATTAGTATCCTTGCTTTTAAAACTAGTTCTTATAATTATGAATGTTAGAGCTAGAGGCTTTGTCATTGTAAGTATTACATATATTGAACTTCAAGAGTTTGTAGAGCTCAGAATGATCAAATGCTTTCCCATATATGGCACAAAATTATTGCATGTTAAAAAAAATCATAATAGCAGAATGTGAGAGTTTTGCATCTTATCTTTATACTAATATCCAACACACATAAAGATAAAATAAGAGAATGTAGGAGACAGAAGATTTTTAATTAGGGACCCAAACAAATATGCAAATTACATATATCGAAGCACCAAAGGTATCAAAATAAAATGGAAGGACTATAAAACCAATCAAGAAAAATGAATCATGAACAAAACTTCAAAATTAGATGCATCTCATAATATCATACTAGGCCGCAAAAACAAGAATCATGATTGATAACAAATGAGTAGAAATTTTCAAAAGCACAATGCCAAAAGAAAAAAAAAATCACAAAAACACATATTTCATAAAAATAGTTTGTAGTAGTCCCATGACAACTACTGAAGTACTCAATTAGTATATCATTTGCAAAGTCATAGGGTCAATAAAAAGGCCAAAGCAAAAGATCTTGGTCTTAAGAAGAAAACTATGGAGGTTAGGGTTTGAGTTTGGGTTTTTAATTAGGGCTTAGTGATTTAAGTCATTCATGTTTGAGCATTGGCCATGGCTAATAGCTACAAAAAAAGAGAAGAAGAAAAAAAAAAGAGGATTTAAGATTTCAAACACAATAGATGAGCCTTCTCTAATCGTAATTTGCATATTTTTATAGAAATTTAGCTATATTGTGTTATATATAAATTCATAATAGGTTCTAAATAAAAAATATTAAGATGATTTAATAATTTAGCCTATGGGTGTGCTTACTTGCTTCAAGCCAAAAGTTATCTGAGCCGAAATTTAATTTATTTTTTAGCAATATGTGATCTTGAGTTAAACTGTTAGATCTGCTATTGTTTTTATTTATAGAAACAAATTTAAAAAAAAAAACCATAATACTCATTAAAAAAAAATCTTTTTCATAGAGAAAAAAAGAGAGTTTTCACTTATTTGTCAAAAGGGCTGTTTGATTTGTTGAAAAAAGAATAAAAATTATTCCAAATGAAGAGAATTAGAATTTGATGAAAACGATATGTTGAGTAAAATTTGGGTGAATTCTTTTTTCATTTAGTTTTTACTGAATTACTTTTTCACTGCAAGTTAACTTTGTTGTTGTTGTTGTCGTCCTCAGGCAGTCGTCGCCACTATCGTCTCATGGCTAGCCGATCGCCTTTGTTTGCCTGTTGTTGCCGCTTGCAGCTTGGCAACCACCTTTGCCTGCTGGCCTCCATAGCTGCCCACTGACCATTACCAACTTACATTACATTCATCTTTCCTTCAACCCGAATAAAAAAGTAATCACTTGTAGTTTTTTTACACTCATTTAAATAACTTCAAATATATTGTTTTTTTTTTCCATCTTACTCTGTATCTCTTCTTTTTCATCAAATCTAAGAGATATTGAAAAAAAAGTCTGACAATACAACTTCCTCATTAGAGTCAACAAAGAGAATTAAAAAAAAAAACTTTTTATTTAGGTTGTTTGGTTTGAAGTAAAAGTGATATAATTATTCTAAATGCACTAGTTGTGAAAATTTTGATGTTTTGTTAGAGTAAAAAAAAATTAGAGTAAAATTTTGATAAATTTGAAATTCACTTAATTTTTGTGTATTTGAAAAACTTTAAATTTAGACCATTTTTAAACACACTATAAATTTTCAGGTTTTGCAGCCCTAAGCCACCACTTCCCACAACCATCAACTGCATCCGTCATTAGCTAACATCACCACTTGCCGCTTACCAATGATTCTTGTTTCCATTGATATCTCTCGAGCAGCTGCTTGAGGATGGCCATTACTCTCTAACCATCGACCACCACCAATTATTAAATTTTATACTGTGTTTATTTTATTTCATATATATATATATATATATATGACAACACTCATTCAAATAATTTTAAATATTTTAAAAACATTCCAAATTTTTACTATTATATTTCTTTCTCATATCTCATACAAACGGCTAGAAAAAATAACGCACCGGATGAAGAAAAAAATCTACAAAGATAATTTGAGCAGTACGCAAGGCAAAGACATTTCTTTAGGTTCCGTTCCTCCGTGAATAGCCAAACATGCCGCGTCTCATCTCTTCCATAAGACCCAGGTTTACTTCTTTGTCTAGATTGTGATTTCTTCCTCGGTATGTCAATTCAGGGTTCAAAATCAACTAGCTTTCTTTCGTAATCTCTCTGCGCCCTCACCAAATTTACTTTCCTTATTTCTTGATCGTTGCAGTTCGGATTCTAAAGATTATTACAATGTTCTTGGGGGTTTTCTAGGGTTTTGTTCACTTGAACTTATTGGTATTTGGTCTCCATTGACTTTGATTTCCTTGAATTGTGTTAGTTTCCCATTCTTTTCTTTTTATCGAAAGTTTTCGTCGGGTTTTAGGGGGGATTGGTGATGTCTTGTCATTCTCCAGATCCTCCCAGCTACTGCTCTTCTTTCTCGCCTGAGTTGAAGCTCTACCAGGCTTTTATCTTTTCAGTGCCAATTTTCTTCGCCTTTGTCATTTTGTTCTTGTTCTACGTGTTCTTCATGAGGAGAAGAGCAAGTTGGCAGTCTCTTAGAATGAGAACAACAAACTTGACCAGGGGAGAGCACCTAAGAGTATGTGTTTCTTTGATCAATTACTTTCGTATGCACCTAACAAGTGATGGTTTTAAGGATTCTCAGGCGTTTCTCCTTGTTTTTTTACCTTTTTATCAATATTAGCCATCGGAGTTAGGTGTAACAAAAGAACTGAGGGAGATGCTTCCAGTGGTTGTTTTCAAGGAGAGTTTCTCGGTCAGAGAAACTCAGTGAGTATTTTTTTGTTTGGTTTGATTCTGTTATCTTCAAATGATTTCACTAATAGGATTGAGTTGTTGTTTTTATAGAAGTTATTCTGAATTTTATCAAATTTGATTTCCTGCTTATAATAATTTTTGTATTTGCAAATATGATCACTTTACTTGTCTCTTTAGATTACATGCTATGCTATTTTTGGCACTTTACATTCTCACTCACCGGAGATATCTGAAACCTCGTCTTTTTCTGGAAAATTACTGCATTCTTATGTAAAACTTTCTTTGATTTTTTGTGCAGTTATTTTTTGATAAATTTGTGCGGTTATTCAATTTATAACCATATTTAAGCGTCCTAAGGTAAACAAGCATACGCTTAGGAATGTCTAACGTGTCTATTGGCTGCATATTTAAGCTTTAAGAGAGAAAAAATGGTGATCAGTCGGAGAATTTTATGTGTATTCACAAAAGAAGCTTTCAAGTTACGTCTCCACCATTCTTTTTTGAAAAGGTGTCCCACCATTCAGAGTTTTCAAATTTATTATTGTCAAAAGATGGTATCATGTTCCATATTTTTATCAGGCAAACTAATTCTCATCAAACTTCATGAACTTCCATTGAAACACTTTACAAAGAATAGAATCTGCAATAAAAATAACAGCTATCTCATGTGCTCAACGGATGCTTCTTGTGCCAATCGGTATTAATACTCTCTTAAAGACCAACTTCTACTGAAACTTAATCAGCATAATTGCCCTATACATCTATTACTAAATTAACTATTTGTTTGGTTAGAAATATCAGCTCAAAACCACTTCCCTCCAATGAAATACCTAGCTTCTGGAGGTGTTTTTCAAATCTTTGGAAAGTATGGTTGTGGCTTACCCATCATTTTTATCATATCAGCTTCGCATGGTAGTTGCGTAAAACTTTAATAACATTATTGAAAGAATTTATCATGTTTAAAACAACAAACCTAGATATAGGAGATAGCTTATATGGTATCGAACACAATGAGGAACATATTTTTACATTATCAATAAAAAATTTAATTTGCAATTCATTATTGAGAATGCAGAGAATAGAATAAGCCTAAATTTATCAAGTTAAATATTCTTAAATGCAATAAATCATCCTTTGCTCCTTATTTTAAATCTCTTAAACAAGTAGAACAATAAGAATATCTATTTTTAACGTCTAAAATATGGACGTTTAGTTAGTTGACTACAACCATCACATTTTTATTGTAACCAAAAGTTGATGCGAAAGCATTTAGGATGGATATGCTATGAAACTATTACCAATAAATGAACATGATATATACAACATCAATATTCATGTGGTCAACTTCAACTTAGTTTATGTCTATGGGTGAGGAGATAGGGTTCAATCTACCAGTAAAAAAGCCATGATTGTAGTATACAAATCAAGAGCACTCATTAGCACTTCTAAATTCTCACGCAAACCCACACAAATCAAATAATAAAAAGTACCTCAAAATTTAACACCAAGAAATTTATACATAATCAAATCTTTCTGTCTTCTTGCATACACACTTGAAGACACCAGTCCTTCAGAACTCGAACTATCAAGAGGGACAACAAGAGAGATCGTTTGATTTCTTAAGAAACCTTTCCTTTATATATTGTTGATGGTGCCTTGAATACATACCATTCGAGGTATCACACAAATCTTAAGATCTAAATCAATGAATCATCTGTGCATCCCAATGCGGCCTGATATGATATTTTTTAAATCCCAATGAGGCACAATTTCTAATGTTGTCTCATGAATTAATGAGATAGCTATGATCTAGTTCATCACATTCCAACAAATCCAATTCAAGGAATAAATGGATCCTATGAAATCAAAATCGATTTGGCACATTGTGCAAAAAAATAAAAACATTAAATTAGTTTTACTGATCTACTTTATATTTTCTCTCCAAGCTGAGTGCTCGTAGCTCCCATGGCCTTAAATGACTTGGCATCACACAATGCATCAAGCCCAAATGTTACATAAATTTAATACATGGGAAGCATTTATGGCATGAATATTGCGTAAGTGATACCATTGAACCTAACTGTGCATCCACCACTTATTTTTCATACCCCCGATGTAGTTGATCATGAATGCTTCATTGGTGCATGTTACTATAAACTATGTAACAAAAATGTGATCCATCATATTACTTAAAATCCTTACATCATTTCGCACCTGAATTTATTCTTGAAATTTTTATGCAACCAAGAAGCTAACTCTTCCTTGCTTTCCCTCTATGATTGATAGACACAAACATGGATACGACATGGATATGGGATAAGTCAATTATTGAAAAAATATGATACAGACATGGGTTGGACACCAATTTATATTTTTTTATATTCTAAATTTAAAAATTGAATAAGCAAGATATTAAGGATAATTGAGAAATAATAAGTAATTCAATGCTTAATATTAGGATGTCAAGTGTTAGGATCGATGTCATTTTAGGCATTAAGAGGGGAGATGATAATGCTTTCTACAGTTGGACATCATGTTGTGTAATAAGCATCAGGCATTGATATCAAGACGGTGTCTATTGTCGATCTTGGGATGATGTCGGTCATCGATGTTAAATGGACATTCAACAGATGAGATGTCGATAATGCACGAGGGCATGATTGTGGGTGTATAAATTGTGGGCATCGAGCATCAATGTAAACACAATGTCAAACTTTGATGTTGAAATGATTTTGAAATATCTTGCAACAATCCCTCAATCAAATTTCAAATATCATAATAATCAAATATTCATTAACTACTTCTCAAACCTAAAAGAAGAGTGTTATCTATGCTGAGGAATCTAATCAAAATTGTTGTTGAATAAGAAGCTACTTCTTAACCTTATCACAAAAGCATTTATGAATATGTAGTGTAGAGGTTATATAAATATGGGTAAAGTAGTAACTCTCCTCATTGGGCTACCGATCGCATCCTCTACCATAGTAGCACAAGTTTAAAAATTCTCTACCATTTATAGTACTTGAATCTCATTTTGGACACCAATCAAGGCCAGTTCTACTTTTCATTCTCCCTTGAATAGTGTCATCTTTTGAGGCAGTTGAGCTTCATTCCATTAAAACTGAGAAAACAAATTATGTTAGATTTATTTTCAATTATTTTATTGATTTTTTTCCTTAAAATGTCCATCAGTTTTTGCAATTCGTCCTCTCTATTGCACGGATTCAGATCTCCTTCCTTAAGATGTCTATTTCATTTGTATTTTCTGTTTATGTGTTCATTTGTAAAGTTGGAGTTTAGTTCAAAATTTTCTATTGATTAGCAAATATTGTAACACGCATTGAAAAATATTTAGGAACCTCCACTAAAATAATCTGAATCTTATGCCTGATTTAATTTCAATCTTATTGATGGTGGTTTTCCTAAAGAGTTTAATCTGCTGCCAATAACATAATATGAACGTTAATTTATTTGTATCATTTCTTATAGGCCACAATTTCCTGCTAGTTGCGTTTGCTTTTCTAATAAGGAATTGGTAAATATGTTTTATTGAGTTGTTGCTCAAAGTTCAAAGGTTATATAGATTGATATTAAACACAAACTTAAAGTGCAGAATTTACCACTTGTCTATTATTAATAAATTTCTCAAAATAGTTTAATAACCTTAAACAAGGTTTTAAAGTATCCTTAGTGTGGCTAAATAATTTGAAATATTCAAAGAGTTCGTCATTAAGCATCATCCACCATGAGTTTATTTGGTTATCATCTCATGTTTACTAATTCTCTTAGGAAGGCTTCACGCATGATTTAGAGCATGACTACCCTAAGGAACTAGCTGAGGCGTATAATAAAGTTATAGCTTGAAAAATATTTCAACTACTCTCATTTGGGACTCTTGTAGCTTTGACTGATTTTCTATTGCAAGATACTCTATAACCATTAATTATCACATTAGATAAAGTATGATGCTGTTGAGGATATTGTAATCTATAAAAATCTGCGATCCTCCATTTTATGTTGATTTCCATTTATAAGAAGGATTATCAAATAAAAAATGGAACTTAAATTGGCCTTGAACCCGAATCTATGTTAGAGTTTATTCTATAACTCACTGTCAATCAATACTACCACCTCCATGCCTGCTATTTCCCCCCTTCACCTTCATTGTATGATTCAAAGTGAATCATACTAATGAATTTAGTGAGACCTTCACTACATCCAGATGCAGCTTGTCATCCATCATTCTCACCTCCCTCAGTTTCCTCGTCATCACAAACGGTGAGAACCTGAAGAGTTTGATCCCTACACCTGTGCCCTGGAGTATATTTCTCATCACATCGGAAATATAACCCCTTTTCTCTCTTCTCCTATATCTCCTTCTTTGTCAGCCTCTTAAAATTTTCCCCACTCTCTCCTACTGGCTTCTCCCCTGTGGTCTCATGAAATCCTCCTGATGCCGGACCCTTGGGTGTTAAATGAGTAGTTGTCATCCTGTAAGTGCCTCCTGAGCTGCCTCTCCTAGCTTCCCTCTCTAGATTCTTCTGATTTTCCACCAATTTGGCCAATTTCATGGCCTTTCCCAAGTCATAAGGCATCGTGACTTTCACTGTCACTCGGATTTCTGCCTTAAGCCCCTTCATGAAGTTCCCCTCCAAAGCAGACTCTGATAATCGCTCCACCAGATTGGCCAGGTGCTCGAACCACTCCCGATAGTCTGCCACTAATCCATCACACACAAGTGCGAAAAACTGCTCATAGAAGCCTGTTAGTTTGGAAACGTTCTAATAAATAGTTCTTGAATGCTCTCCAACTCCTTATAGGCCTCCTCTGGTCCCACCATTGGTACCATGACAATGCCTTCCCCTCTAGACATAGGCTTGTTGTTGCCTATTTCTCCTCATCCGTCAATCCATTGACGGAAAAATACATCTCCACTTTATAAATTCACCCATATGCATCCTCCCTTTCGAATATGGGCATCTTCAGCTTCCTCACATTCTGATCTCCCCGTT